TGAACAGAGTGATAAAGATCAAAATACAGGGACGTGATTCATGACAGCTTAATGTGCGGGCCGGGTCGGTGTTGGGCTTTTGATTGCGTCAGCAGATGCGTGCGGCTGATGATCCAATTATATGGCAACATGGCCTACCATACAATCACCAGCCGCACGCAGCCATTTGACTGCACGCTGACCGGCCTTGAAAGAGGTAAAAAGTTCATTTAAGCTTCAGATGGACTACTGCCAGCGATCCATCAGCTCAAATGGATGTTCATTCATCCGCTGCACTCAGTGGACGCGTGCGGCCGATAACCCGAACGGTTGAGATCACAAAATATCTGACATGTCAGAGTAGGGTCCATGTCTGAATAATGCTGAATGCAGGCAGAAGCAGGGATTCAATGTGCTTTGACGGCCATGAAAGGATGAACACCCTCTCAGCTTCGATCTTCTGCCCACTTTACTCAGCTGTGCATGTCTGATGACCGTTAATAATGATATAAGCTGTCAACGCTTAATTAAAAATGTCCGGGGGGTTTTCGGGTTCAAACCTATAATTACTGTTAATTTGTTGGGTCGGGTCGGGTTAGGGAAATGATGATTACGGGCTGGGGCTAGGTCGGATCGGATTTTTTGTGCCCGAAAGCAACTCTAACATGTTGACATTTGTACATTAGTTTATGTTTCAACTATGTGTTTTAACTCCATTTTGTACAATAAATATTGACCGTAAAGCTTTATTTCTGGCTCTGGAGTTTGGTGAAACCTGCTTTTTCAAACAAGAAGCTTATCGGTTCATTCTGATACCTTGTTCATCTCCTCCTCCAGGCTGCAGTCGGTGACTTTAAGCCCCACCATGGAGCCATATTCACCGTACCACTGTCTGTATTCAGGTATAGACACAGAGCTTGGATCTGTGATATTGAAAAAGGGCCACCAGGGTTGACTCGATCCATTAGAAGCCATAAGATTTAACACACCAAGATTTCTGCAAGATATAAGATCAGCACAAACATAAGAGACAAATATACCTTTTGTTCTGTCAATAAAAACACAGACATACTCAGCTACACAGTGTAGGGCAATGCTCTTGGCACGAAAACCAAGCACGATGAAAACCACCAGCGAGGCCAGCACAGATGTCATAAAGTTGATGCAGGAGACCAACAGCGCGTCCTGGTGGCAGTTGTTGTTTACTGGATTGTAGGAGGAATATGCGATAACTGAGCCATATCCCAGACCGAGGGCAAAAAACACCTGCGTGGCCGCCTGCCGCCACACCTGGACACTACCCCAGATCTCCAGCTGAGAAATACAACAAAATAAAGTCTCACTGAGTCACTGATTTTAGAAAAGGTCAGAAAATTTGAGGCTAAGTTGATTTACTTTTTACATATAGTAATCAAAAAAGGACAGTTGTGTGACAATGTTGGTTTGCTTACTTTTGGATAAAACATGTAGGCGATTCCATCAATAGCACCATCCAACAACAATCCTCTGATCAGGAAAATAAAAAGCACCACGTAGGGAAACACGGAGGAAAAGTACATCACCTAACATCATACAAAAGAGGGAAATTATGCATAAGAAAATATGTAAAAAGTATTTAAAAATAACAAAAAAGGAAACTAAATAATAAATAAAAAAAAACTATCAAAACTGTTCATCAGTTAAATCCTCATGAAAAATAAAACTAAGAAAACGTTTAGTTTTTGCAGCTACAGCTGGAAAGCTCTAAGCTCAACAGCATGGTGGTGGTAGAATCATGATTTGGAGCAGTCTAGCTGAATCCAGTCCATGATAATTGTAGCAAATGACACCAAACAAAGGTTCATATTCTTCATGTTGGCTTCTCAGAGTGAAGTTTTAAAACTTAAAGTAAAATTTCCTGATATTTTGAATCTTACAGTGCAAATGTCTTCAGTCATGCCTTGTTTTTATGATTTGCTTCAAAGGAGGTGAGTATTTTTGTAATATAAATTATCTTGTTTGACATATGGTACGGTATGGTATAAAGTTTATTCATTTAAAAAAGTACAAAACAATTCCATAACAATATAAAAAAGATACAAGAGATTTAAAATGAAAGGCAGCAGAAAGAAGAAAAAATCTTATTATATCTGCCCCTTTTTTCAAACAATTGGTTCAATCATAATAATTTTCAAGTAACAGAACAAAATTAATAACTCTTTCTAATTTTTCTAATTCTAATACTAAAAACACACTAAGCTACTTCATTTTTTTTTTTTAACAATCCAGCTTTGATCTTTTTCTTAAATGTGCACATTGACTTGGCATTTTTAACATCACTCTCAAGACCATTCCACAATCCAATTCCTTGGATTGAGGTAGACCTTCCCTTCAGACTAGTTCTGAATTTTGGTTTGACAAATATCTCTATCCCCTTAAGATTATAACAACTTATCCTGATGCATGCTCAATAAACTAGGTAGAAAAATGTAACAAATGTAAGTCAGGTCCTCTGGACAGATAAAAAAAAAATGTTGAAACAGTCATCTTTTGTCCAAAAGACTTTGTCAGTCTGAGGAGCTGCACTAAACTCAGTCTTATAAATAGCACCTAGTATACGCTAGCATATGTTACTGGCCAAAGTATTCAACAGGGTAGCATTGGAAGCCCATCTCCTCAAAGCTGGTGGGGATTGGCATATGCTAGGTAGCTATTTATTTAGCGTATGCTAGATGCTATATATTTAGCATATGCTAGGTTACCTAGCATATGCAAATAAATAACTACCCATCATATGCTAAATAAATAGCTACCTAGCTATTTATTTAGCATACGCTAGGTGCCATTTATATGGCATATGTTAGGTAGATATTTATTTAGCACATGTTAGGTAGATATTTATTTTGCATATGCTAGGTAGCTATTTATAAGACTAAGTTTAGTGCAGCTCCTCAGACCGACAAAGTCAATGTTTCAATTTTTTTTTTAATGCATCCAGAGGACCTGACTTAACTTTGTTATATCTTGTTAGACAGTTTTTCAGGCTTTTCATATGCCTTTTAAAACTTTCCTTCCATCTAGGGCTCTCAGGTGTTGGATTCTCTTACCCTTGCAGAGGACTTGATGCCCTTGATCATAGCCAGCGACACGATGGCCCAAGCAGCCAACAAACATCCTGTCATGATGGGGTTAAATTCTCCACTGTCCTCGATGGAATTTGTGATGTTTAGAGCTTTCCGAAACCAGAAGTATGGCGTGGGGGAGCTTTTTTCACACTCCTTTACTGTGTATCAAAGACAGACACCACCACAGATGTTGTTCTGACATATAAAAGGCATCACATTTGATTTCCTTCTTGTCAGTACCTGTTTCATTGACGGTGACATCCATTGGACACTGATGCCACGGCAGAGGATACTGAAAGGAGTTACCCAAATAGAACAGGCTCCATGCAATGATAACATTGTAGTAAAGAGCCACATAAAAACAGACCTAAAAAAAGAAAAACAGAATATTTAAAATAAATATTTTTCTTTCATCTTAGATATGTGAAACACAAACTTCTACATAATACATTTCTTTGTTATTTGAATGGGGGAAAGTGAAAACGTCATCATCTTGTTACCATGAATTAAAAAAATAATTTTTTATAAGAAGCCTCTATAATAAGTGCTTCTGTGCTGTAAAGCATTAAAGGTCCTTGCACGCTTCTGAGTTTGCCTTGTCTTGTCCACAGAGAAAAGTGTTACACAACAAACTGCAGCTCTCAAGTTACAGCATGACATGATGTCACCTTCATTTCCAAAAATACACACGGGGCTGCAAGTCATACAAAGTAAGTCAGCTTACAGAAACACCCCCAAAATAAGGCTGTGCATGAATAAACTGTGAACTCATGTCTGCTTTTTATTTATTCTTGCAGCTTTAATCTATGAAAGCTAAAGAAGATTCTTTCAGACAACAGCCTTTCATAGTTGAGGTGAGTTACAGATCACAAAAGGAGGATTTTTTCTGCTTCCATGTTCATTGACATGGCGATAATAAACTGATTCTGATTCTGATTCTGATGTCTTGGCTTTTAAATGCCACCATTATATAAGTGATCTCAAGTCCAAATATGCTCACCACGATGCTGGAGTAGCCGATCCCCACCAGCTTTGGGGAGATGTGCTTCCAAACCCCAATGCTGCCCTGTCGAATACTTTGGCCAGCAGCTAGCTCCATAAAAAAGAGAGGAACTCCAACAAGCAGCAGAAGGAAAACATACAGAAGCATGAAGGCTCCTGGAAGGATACATTTAAATTAGAAGTTACTTATTGCTGTTCATTTATCCAACGTTGCATGACTTAATTTTTTTTTTTTTGCATTTGTAAGAAAAAATATTAGAAGATTCTTGTGTTTATAATATTTCTTTAAAGACACTCACCACCTCCGTTTTGGTGGCAAAGGTATGGAAACCTCCACACATTCCCTAATCCCACACTGAAGCCAACCTGAGCTAACACATACTGGATCTTAGAGTCCCAAGCGGGCCGATCTGCACCGTTCGGCTCAGCTCTGTCAGGACTGGGCACTGCTGACAGCTGAGTTTCAGACTGACCCTCTCCCAACCAGGACCTCTCCTCATTTGAGTCCAGTGCAGGTTTCTCCATCTGGTCGTGAAGAAAGTTGTATCACTCAGATTAAATGAAATATGAAATGTTTTATGAAATGAATTTAAAGTAATGGCAGAGGCAAATATTCCCCAAACACCTAACTATTAAAAATGATGCATACAAAGCTAGAGTCTAATTAGATTAGATTAGGAGTTTGGGGGTGGCACTGTTGAGATGTCACCTCTCAGTGAGAAGGTTGCCGGATCAAATCCCGGCCGGGGGCAGTCACTGTACGAGAGATAGGGTACACCCTGGACAGGTCTCCAGTCCATCACAGGGACACATAGTAGAGACAAACAACCATTCACTCTCTCACTCACCCCTAGAGACAATTTAGAGTTGCCAGTCAGTCTAACATGCATGTTTTGGGTTTGTGGGAGGAAACCAGAGTACCTGGAGAAAACCCACTTGTGCACAGAGACAACATGCAAACACTGGGTACATGTTTTATTGGTACATTCAAGAAAGAAACAAATAAAACTTTTTAAAAATATAATTTCACGATAGAATAAAATAAAAACGTGGTTTCTTACATGCCAAAGTTGACCTGTATGGGATGGATAGGGATGATATAGCTACTACCATATCCAATTTTAGCTCAAAATCCATAAAATTCACTAAGTTATAGCTATTATTGTGTTTGCTAAGTTCAGTTAAGAATCAGTTGTACACTTTCAGTGAGTACTTTCTGAAAAGTCAAGACAAACAGAATTTGCTCTGACAGGTTATGGCAAAGTTTAAAACAAAGCTACACTATCTGTTGGAGCTTTGGGTGTGTGTTGTTGATGACTATTATTAGCTTTTATCACATCTCGTTTACTTTAAAATCTGTAAAACTGATGGTGTTATGGCTCTTTTTGCGCTTGTGAAGGTTGATTAGCTGTGGTGTTCAACTTGAGACAGTTTAACTCCAAAAGCTCAGTAATTGCAGGTCTGCATCCAATAATTACATTCTGAGAGTTTCATTCAAATCTGTTTACTGGTTCAGGAGATATTTTGCTAACAGACTAACGAACAAATACACACAAACACTACCCTTCATGGATAACAATAAATACATCTTTCAAACCTTTATCACATGTTGAATTAATTTAAGTTTTATTCAAGCTTTTGAAAACCTCTTTGTAGATGCCATCAAGCCATAATCCAATTAACTCTCGACAACATTGATAAAACTAGAAAGTTCCTGGAGAAACTTTGACGGGGACTGCCAGGCTGCTGCCAATTAAAAGTTTCGATTTAGTACTGTGTTTGGGTTCGCTCTCAGCTTAGCTACTACTATACCAAATTTCAGCTGAACAGCCCTAAAAATAGCTGCGATATCATATTTTTCCCTTTTAGCTAAGGTGGCCATCTTGGATTTTTGAGTTGGATTCAGTAAGTGTTGGAAAACGTTCTCCGCTATCACACAAAATTTTAGCTCAATATCTCTAAAACTAGCTGATTTATAGTATTTTTCCTTTTTTAGCTCAGGTGGCCAGCTTGGTATTTTGATTTGCATTAGGAATGTATGAAAACTTGCTCTCAGCTATGACCAGAGCAAATTTCAGCTCAATATCTCAAATAATGACTGAGAATGACTGCGCAGATAGAAGCTGTTGAGTTCTGTCAAGCATTTTGAACGAGAAAAATGGCTTCTTTGTTTGCAAACTATATGTCGCCATGGTAACTTGAAACGCCAATAAAAGTAATAGCACACATCACGGTGCTGAGCTGTTCGTTTTAACATTTGTGGGGGTACACGTTGCAGTTTGGGCCACATTAAAGTTGACGCAAGAGTTAGATATAAAGTTAAGAAACCTGAAGTCAGGTGGATAATAATAGGTGCCTGCCTATAGGCAGTCCCCAATGATCATTGTTGTTGTGGCGCCTAGTCCTAATTTTTCAGGACCAACACCTTATTTCAAATGAATCACAGCTCACTGTAAAGAAACACACCATCTTCAGCTTGTCCTGGGCTGATCCTAACGGCAAATTCAGCCCAGGAGCAGAAAGTTTGTTTAAAAAGGGATTATGAGATAACTCTCAGAGTGAAAGTCCACAATCACAAACAGATTGTTCATATTTGACTTACATGGAATATGTGCCAGGACAACAAAAATAGCCTTTCCATCCAAAACTAGTATTTGTGTCAGTAAACCTATCGACAAGAACCTTTAAAAAACCAAAAGTGTTAAAGTACACAAACTATAGAGTTTGGCCACAACCAGCATGGATAAGTTTGGTGCCGGAGAAGAATGTCAAATCATCTGTGAACTGTGATTACAGAAAGACTTTGGTTTGGAGTGTCTGTCCTCTCTCAGTACCTGTCTGAAAGTTCAGGTTCAAACATAATTTCAACAAAGCTCTAAACCAAACACACAGGAAAATGGTTTAAATAGCAGAAATAAAGAAATGAAAAACCATAAAATAGATGCTACTGATTAAAGGCAGATTATGTAAAACTCCTGTAAGAAGCTGTGCAATCTAAAAAGAACAGCAATGCTAGCCTCTCATGTTTACAGAATTTTTCAGACGTATTAAAGCAGATAATAGTTTTGTTTAAAAAAACACTTTTTAAAGCACTTAATACAAAAAGAGAACCTATAACTGCTCGACTATATAAGAAAAAGCTCAAATTTTCTATCAAAACTTAGATTAGTGTACTTCTTAGTTTAGTGTATTTATTGGTTTATATCTTAGGTCTTTAGTACTGTTTCTTTTACAATTTATATTTTGGCTATTGTTGGATGTAATTGGGACCTTTTGTGCACAATTTCGTTCTACCTCATATACCACATGTGACGCGAATGACAATAAAGAACCTTGAAGTTGAAAACATAATCTCATAGTAGACAAAGCTGCTTCTTCCACAGTCTGAATGCTAATTATTGATTAATTATATACTTAATTATGATGAGGCTGCACCTAAACCACAGCTTGAGGGCCAGAAGCAGCCTATGGACACATCTTATTAGCTCTAAATGTCTGAAGTAAGAATAATACAACTTAAAGTAAAGTGACTCGACACTCCATGTTTTCTCAGCTGGGGCAACAACACCACCAGCCTGATCAATAAAACTCATCAGAGACTTTACTTCCTCAGGCGACTGAGGCGAGCTGGTCTGGGAAGCTCAGTCCTCACCTGCAGTGTGCAGTGCAGAGCATCCTGTGCTCCAGCATCAACGTGTGGCATGGAGGCTGCACAGCTGCAGAAAGAAAAGCTTTGCAGAGAGTGGTGAAGGCTGCACAGAAGACTGTTGGAGTCAGTCTCCCCACCATCACAGACATCTACACCTCCAGATGCAGGAAGGGTTGGCTTGTTATGCTGCCATAAACAACTACTAGAGGACAAATTGACCTCATTTCATTAAATGATTTGTTAAAATTGAATCGTTTTTATTTGATGCTATTTCTATCAACATGTGATTCTTGACCTGCCATTGTGTATCTGTTCCTCTCAAACCCAGCCGGTCGAAGCAGATGGTCGCTTGTCCTGAGCCTGGTTCTGCTAAAGGTTTCTTCCTCATGAGGGAGTTTTTTTTCTTTTCCACTGTCGCCTTCGTGCTTGCTCAAGATGAGAGTCTGCGATGGAGTTAAATTCAAAGCAGTCTGCTCCTCAGATAAATAATGTTAAATTATTATTTTTATGTATGAATGTTTCTGTTCAGTGCCCTGAGATGACTTCTGTTGTGACTTGGCGTTATATAAATAAACTGAATTGAAATGAATAGACTGAGGAACAGCTTCCACCCTGAGGCTGTTAGACTCATGAATCTCTAACCAGAATAATCACTGTGAAAAATCACATCATGTTGCTGCTGATCTGTTTCATGTTGCTGTGTTCATGCGTGCTCATCTGTTCACACAGACTCATGTTCGTGCTTCTGTTCGGCATCATTTTTTAATGCTACTAGTGCTTAATTAATGAATTATTTAGTTGATGTTGTTCTTAGTTCATATCTTAGATCTTATTGCTGTTTTTCTTTTACATTTTATTGTTAGATGTAACTGGGACCTTGTGTAAATAATTTCATTCTGCCACATGTACCACATATGGTGTTGTGAATGACAAAGAACCTTGAATCCTTGAATCCTTGAACCCTTTTAGCATCTTGGCCACCATCATTCAGGTGTGGGTGTCAAGGACAGCGGGGGTCACCCGGTTTGGCATGTTTTTTTGCTTTTGTTTTCGGTCTGAGCAGTTCTTTGGGATATTGGTGTTATAAATTGCTGATTTTGCAGTGACAACAACTTTTTAATATGTTATGCAGCTCTGAATAAAATCAGTAGAAGGACACATGTTAATGTAAGATTTGAGATGACAGGAAGCAAAGATGTGGATGTCTAAATCTAAAATATATGCAGTAAACTGGAAGATCCAGATAAGATAAGATAAGTGTTATCAGAGTCAGAGTCAGATTTTCTTTATTGTCATTCGCACCACATGTGGTACATGTGGTGGAGCGAAATTATGTACACAGGGTCCCAGTTACATCCAACAATAAAATGTATAAGAAAAACAGTAATAACATCTAAGATATGAACTAAGAAAAACATCAACTAAATATACACTAAGCACTCAAAACATAAAACATTGGACATCAGCACAAACATGAACATGAGTCTGTGAGCAGATGTGCACGCATGAACACATCAACATTGAAACAGATCAGCAGCAACATGAAACAGATCAGCAGCAACATGATATGGTTTTTCACAGTGATTATTCTAGTTAGAGATTCATTAGTCTAACAGCCTCAGGGTAGAAGCTGTTCCTCAGTCTAGTGGTTCTACACTTAATGCTCCTTAACCTCCTTCCTGAGAGGAGTGGGGCAAAAAGTGTGTGTGCTGGGTGAGTGGGGTTCTTCATGATGCAGGTGGCTCTCTTCCTGCATCTGGAGGTGTAGATGTCTGTGATGGTGGGGAGGCTGATTCCAACAAATTTCTGTGCAGCCTTCACCACTCTCTGCAAAGCTTTTCTTTATGCAGCTGTGCAGCCTCCATGCCACACATTG